AGGGGAACATTATGCTGTTCTCTGCATCCATGACACACACCTTCCCCAGGCATTCTTCACCTGCACCAAGTCTTGCTTTTTATTTGTTGGAAGGGCAAAGGCTGTGTTTGGAACTGGTTGTTCCTTCTCTGCTTTCTTAGATCCTGTGTATGTCTCTCTGATCTTCTCATGGCTTTAGGTCCCTGCTGGCTTATTAGATAGCCAGTTACCAAAGTGACTTATTAAGAATATGGCTTCTGGAACCATTTAGGTCCACTTGGTACTAGATATATGGCATTGAGCAAGTTACTTCACCTCTGCCTCAATTTCCACATCTATACAATGAAGATGCCCATAATATCTACCTTTTAGAGTTGCTGTTTGACTCAATGAGTTAATATGTGCAATATGCCCAGAATAGTGAATACCATTAGCAATAACGTTAGCAATTAGTATTAGTTCCAATTTACCCTTTCCATTAGAAAGTAAGATTTCAAAAGGCACGGCAAGTTTGTCTATCTAATCATTACCATAATAGAATAGTCATTGTTTATGAAATGTTATAAGAGAGTTTAGGTAGGTTTAGTTTTAGAGCTATGACCACTATTCATTCATTTATTCATTTTGTCAATCACTTACCAAATGTTTCTAAGCATTGGGGATCTCACTAAATCCTGGGTATAGATAGCAAATTAGAGAAAAAAGATTTCTGTATTTAAGGAGTTTAGATGCAGACATCATCCTAAAATTGTATCTTTATTTTTTATTTTATTTTATTTTATTTTTGGTACCGGGAATCAAACTCAGGACCTTGTGCTTGCCAGGTAGGCTCTTGTGCCTCTGAGCTATATCCCCAGCCCCATCTTAAAATTGTAAACCAAAAATGAATTAATAATTGCAATTTGTCTTAAGTACTTTGAAGGGAAAGACTATAGGGCTATGAAAGGGAAAAACCTTTTGTTATCTTCAAGTGTGTGATCTCCGTACATTGGGGAAAAGATACTGGAAAAAATACTGGAAGATACTGGAATGAATTTTTTCATTCATGTATTTATTCCACATTTAAAATAAACTATAATTTAAAACCATAACAATTTTAGAAGATAAAGGAGAATTTGTGACTCGGCTGTATTAACAAGATAGACACCAGTCTAAAGTGCAACACTAAATGGATATTCTCTGTGATGCAAGAGAATTTCTGTACATGCCTCACGTTTAATAAATAATGGCAACTGAGGTAGAACGATTTGTTTAACTGATCTTTTGCTGATTCTTCTTATGCTTTGGCTTAATCAACACATAATGTTCTCTGATGTCCATGGGAGGTGAGCGCATTTGGTTAGCTAATAAGGTCAGTGTCAGAGGTCAGCGTGGATCAGCGAGCTTTTCTCCTTCCTGTGGCCAGATTGCACTCTTAACCTCAGCCATCTTGCAAAAGTGAACGAGTGGTCACAGGAAGGCTGGATCAAGAGAATCTGGATGGAGGAGTTCCACATTTGCCCCAAATGCAAGCTTTGATCATAGGTCTAATGGTTGCACGCTGTATTTTATTGCTCCTAGTCAGTAGAGATAATCTAATCTTATTTTTGACCATAGTAGCCAATAGTTTCTGTAATGTTTTTCTCAAATGAAAACTGCCATTTCAAAATAAGCAAACCACTTCTGAACATCATCTCTTCTGCATGGATGCTGTAGACTTATACAGACCTTCTCCAGTGGTGATGCAAAGTCACACAACGGTCTTGTTAAAATGCAGATTCTGGTGCCAGTGTGTCTGGGTGGGACTGGAAATTTGTGCACTTCTACCAAATTTCAGGGATGCTAATTTTGCTGGTGCTTGGATGACACTTGAAAGAGCATAGTACAGATAACAAGGAATCAAAAGTAGGTCTGGATTTCAGAGGTACAACAAATAGCTGAAGCATAGTGAGCCTGACTATGGTACAACTTGCTAGAACAGTGTATTATTTAAGATGTTTCATTGTTTATAAGCTTTCCATAAATAATGCTCCTTTTCAGCTTTTTAAAAATGGTGTTCTGGGGCTGGGGGTATAGCTCAGTGGCATAGCGCCTGCCTGGCAAGTGTGAGGTCCTGAGTTTGCTTTCTGGTCCCCCCTCCCCAAATGGTGTTGTGTTTTCCTGGGAAGGCAAGTATAAGAAAAAATTCAATATACTTTTGTTGTTGTTGTAGTTGTTGTTTTTTTTGTTTTTCATTTTTCTTCTGGTACTAGGAATCAAACTCATGACCTTGTGCTTGCCAAGCAGGCGCTTTACCGCTGAGCTAAATCCCCAGCCCCTCAGTATACTTTGATTTTAGAATTATATGTAATGTTTAAAGAATTGGAACTAATTCCATATTGTGTAACATAAAGTGCTTTTTAAATACACATAGAGCCTTTTGTTTTATGGAGGACAGTTTAACTTTATTTTTAACTTATTCTACCATATGTGACAAGCGTGGCAAAACCCTTTTGTGCTGTCTGTATTTATTTTTTGATAATAAAGGGAGACAGCTCCTTTTCCTCTTTGCTCAGAAGAGGCCATTCTCCTGCTGATGTCTGTGTCACTGCTATTGACACTAAATGACCATGAGCATGAACTTGCCAAAGAAACCTCTCTCAGAAGAAATTTCCATGTGTGTGAAATCATGGGAATCACAAATGATGGGAAAGTCCCTCCAAAGTTGTGCAAACTGCCAGGATTCTTATAGGGAAAGAGCCCAGAAACACCATATTATCTCCTTTACCATTTAGCAAGATGCATATCTTGGGAGAAAATTGCCAAGCTCTGCTCAGTGCAAAATGTTTCATTTATTTTTCTGCAAGTACTTTGGGTGGATATATACTTGTAAAATTAGGATTTTTATAGGTTAGGATATTTAGCCTGACTTCTTCACTTAACAAGCAAGGATCCACATGCACAGGGGAATTAAATGAACTTCTAAGGTGTTGTGTCCAACCTGGAAGCAGAACCAGGACATGAACCCAAGTCCCCGGCTCCTTTCCAGTGTATTTCCTTGCCTTGGACACCTTCAGCTAGTCACCAGGAGAGAAGCTGAAAGCACATCACTTTGAAAGAAAGTTTAGGATTTGCACATATCTTTGTTTCTCAATTTATTTAAACAGTCAGTCAATCGATGAATACTCAATTAGCGTCTTCTGTGTGCCTAGCACATTTTACATAACGTAAAGTAATTTAATATTTATTTATTGGTTCAGAATTTCTGTCAATAAAGCACTCAGGGGTGAATTCCGCACTTTGGGCTGCTGAGTTAACTCTTTTTTTTTTTTTTTTTGGTTTTTCTCCAGTACCAGGAACCGAACTCACGACCTTGCGCTTGCCAGGCAGGCGCTTTGCCGCTGAGCTAAATCCCCAGCCCTGAGTTAACTCTTGTAGCCCACTTCAGAGCTTTGCATTTTAACAAATTTGTGTACGTTTCAAACCTTGTACCACTTTCAGCTCTTCTGTTTCACATCCCCCACATCTGTCAGTGGCTAAGATTCTTTCCCAAGTGCTTCTTACATCACTTCTTTCTTAATCTGCTCGTCTTGAAGGCTCTGTTACCCAACAGCTACCTTGAGTCTGTGGTTGAGACTGGGGGCCCCTCCTCCCAGGAGTCCCCTATAAGCCTGACATTCTTTTCTCTTTTTCTGTAACACATACTTATCCTGGTTTTACTCCCCTAAGTTTGGCAGGTAACTGAAGCTAGTTCCTACCATTACCTTAGTTTTCTTTCTGTAATCTTTCACCAAATTTCTGCTCTTGATCACAGCTTTTCTTTCTCTTGTTTGTCCTATACATGGCTGCTACACTCTTTATTTCCAAAGTGTGGTATTTTTTATATATGCCTACTGTGCCTGGAACTACAGCTGAAACACACAGGCAATTAATAAATACCTCCTTTTTCTATCTATCCGACATGCATGAAAGCTGGAGAATTGTCTCTAGAGATTCTTTCAGGTTCCATATATAGAACATGGGAATAATAATACCAATGATTTTGTCAGATTATTGTAGTAATTTAGCTATTATTATTCATGAGAAAAATATCAAGCTACAAATAACTAGTTAATTTTATTAGCCTGGCGTGGTGGCACATGCCTGTAATCCCAGCGCTTGAGAGGCTGAGGCAGGAGGATTGCTGCGAGTTCAAGGCCAGCCTGAACTACCTAGTGAAACCTTGTCTCAAAAAATTTTATTGTCTTCTAATATTCATGATCATGGCATATATCCTGGTTTAATTTTTACTTTTTGGCCTATGGTAAAATATATTGAGGAAAAGACAATGTTTTATATTTGGGAGCTCCCTTATCTCCAATCCAATTGCCTAGCAGGGCGCTGTGATCCCCGCGGGCATCAGGGGCAGTGTTCAGTTTGTTCACCCCCAAGCAGCAGCTACTTCCAGGGCCCATTCCCAGTGGTGGGGATGTATTCTGATGGACGGCCCTGTGCCACACCCACCGACAAATATTTGCATATTATCCCTGCTTGACTGATTTATGGTACCTGGAGTTTGGCATACAGCATCTGAAAAGGTTAAAATAGATGAACGTCTCCCAGGTATTTGCTTTCTCCCTGCCTCTCCCAGTGGGATTCTGTATTAAAAATGTTACAACAGTTTTAATCCCTCTTTTGGATTAGCTGCCTTACTTCATGGTGCTTGGGGTTTTAACAGTGTATTATGGGGAGAGCACTGGTAATAACGAGAGAAACAGAGTTGTAGGTGCAAGGTGCCCCTAAATTCCCACACTGCCGGGAGCCGGGGCTCAGACGGCAGGCGCACCTGCGCTCCCACCCCTGGCCTATGGGTGGCGCTGTGGGTGGAGCCGACACTTGGGATCCCTAGCTGACCCATAGGCATTTATTTCATGTTGAAAACAGCATAAAAAAGAACAGGTAGGTTAGTGTTAACCTTCGTGCACTTCTCCCTCAGCAAGTAAGATGTGGTATTACTAAGTAATGCAACGACGCTCTTTGTCCTTGTTACACTGTTGAAAAAAAATAAACGCATACCTTGGGACTTTTTCCTTTCCTTCCAGCTTTTACACACATTTGCTACTAGGGGTTACTTAAGATTTCCCAGTTCCCCACCGAATTCCCCAGAATTCGAACACGACGTTGAATACCGGGTCGCGGAGCAGAGGGTGGTGAGTTACACGTAACTTTTCAGACTGGAGGACCGGGGACTTTGGAGAACCCCAAGGAGGTCGTGTCGTTTTCATCCTGTGATTTTTAGGGGCTTGGACGAGACCACTGAAAACCTCCTTTCAGCCCTCAAGTTTGTGTTCCGTAGCAACGGCAGCCGCAGGAATTCGGGAGAGCGCGATGGGGCAGGAGCTGCGGTGCGGCGAGGTGGCTGGGAAAGAAAAGAAATGATTGAGCAGGCCTGGGATTTCATGCGCAGCGCTTACTTTGAGAGCGGAGGGCGCGGGCGGGGAGGAGGACCGCCCGAGCCCGCCGCCGGAGTGACCTCCTGCCAGCCAAAAGGCAAGCGAGGCCCGAACAAAAAGGGGTAGGTGGGTGGATGTGGCCGGCAGGGGGAGGGAGGGAAGTAGACAGCTCGCCCACGCCGGCGAGGCGCCGCCCGTGACAGGCCGGGAGTTCTGGCCCGGGGAGGGGACTCATCCCGGCGCACAAAGGCTGGGGCGCGAAGAATGGCCTGGCGCGTAATTCAACGCAGGCGCGGCGACTCCGCCGGCGGTGCAGGCTTTTGTGTTTGCTGCAACAATGGAGCGGGAGAAATCAGGCCACAGGCTGGCGCGCTGACTGGCTGGTGCGGATGTGTCTCGGCCCTGGCGGCGACGGGAGATGCCTGCGCGGCCGTTGCCCGGCAACAGGACGCCGCCGCCCGCGCCGCGGAGCCCGCCGAAAGCCGCAGCGGCCGGAGAAAGCGAGAGCGCCGCGTTCACAGGCCTGCGCGCGGGCAGACGAGACAAAGGACAGGGGGCCGGGGCCGGGACCGCGTGGGGCAGGGCACGCCTCACGCCGAACCGGGCACATCCGGAGCCCTCTCTTTCCGAGGGCCTGAGTTGGTACCCTGCCTCGGCCCAGCGCTTGGGCCGCTTGAACAAATATAGCTCTTCCTCCATCTTCAAGTTCACAGCGTTCCGAGCCCAGATGTTGTATTCAACTGTCTGCCCATTGTGTAAAGCACGCAAACAACTCCAAACAAACAACAAAAACAAACCCTTTTCAAGTGGCCAGCTGAAATTCATTTCTTAGACAGGAATATTTTCCCAAGTGGGACTACCGTGCACCTGGCAGGGAAAAAGGCTCCCCATACAATAGCAGTTGCTGCATGAAATGTGGTTCCTGGATTGCCTGGTGAAACATTAGCTGTACTTTGGTTAATAGTAATGTAACAATGTTTATTTCTTAGTTTAGACCAAGAGTCAGCAAAGCTTCTGTAAAGGATCAGATGGTAAAAACTTCAAGTTGTGCGGGCCAGATGGTCTCTGATGCTCTATTTACTCTCCCATAGCAGTGCTAAAGCAGTCAAACTATGTAAAAGAGTGGGCATGATTGTATTGCAATAAAACTTTACTTATGGAAACTTAAAATTGAATTCGATATAATTTTCATGTGTCTTGAATTACACTCTTCTTTTGATTTTTTTCATCCATTTAAAAAATTCGAATACAGTAGCCTTCTCTTATCCAGTCATGCTGGAAATCATGATAGTAAGAACTGGACCTTGCATATACTATGATTTTTCCTATACATACATACCTATGATTAAATTTAATTATAAATTAGGCACAGTAAGTGATAAACAATAACTACTAAAACAGTTATAACCGTATACTGTAATAAAATTTCCAGGTTGCTACCTGTGTGCTTTGAGGCCATTATTAAGTAAAGTGAGGGTTACTTGAACTCAGGCACTGTGATACCACGAGTGCATTTAATACTCAAGACAGCTATAAACTTACAGGAGGGTAGCATATATGTTGTGGATATGCTGGACAAAGGAATAATTGACATTCCAGGTGCTAAGGGGTGGGATTGTCTGAGGTTTCATAATGCTGCTCAGCAGAGAATGCAATTTGAAATTTATGAATTACTTATTTCTGAAATTTTCCATTTGATATTTTTGGACAGAGGCAGACCACAAGTAACTGAAACCACAGATAAGGTGAGAGTGCTGCACCGTTTGCTTGCAGACAACAAAAACAGACAACAGGTCTGCAGACTGCTACAAAGTTTGTCACCCTCTGGTTCAGACAAACAGATCGAGGTTATGTAAAATTAGAACACTAAAAGAAGCTGATGAAAAGTATATAAGAATTGTCTGTACTCTCTTGGCAACTTTTCTGTAAACATAAGACAATTCCAAAATAAAAACGTTTATTTAAAAAGTATTAAATGGGAAAGCCTTTTACCCCTCCTCACCTTATCCAGTTTCAGATACTTGTGGTCAACCTCTTTCTGGAAATAGTAAGTGGAAAAGTTCTACAAATAAGTAATGTGTAAATTTCAATGAATTTAGTTTTGGTTATTTAAGACAGTTTCACTATGTAGCCCAGGCTGGCCTGGAACTCACTGTGAACCTCCTGCCTCTACCTCCTAAAGGCTGGGGTTTACAAGTGTGCTCCACCGGGCCTCTATGCCTGGCTTGGGAATTGTTTCAGAAAGGAAAGGGACTTGTAAGGAGGCAAGCAAGTCAGAGTGTGCATGTGTGTGCGTGTGTGTTGGAAACAGGAAGGAATGTTCTTTCCTTAGTATTTGTTGACATATGGTATTAAGACCTCCCAAAAAGAAACTCTTGCTACACTACTATATTAGTAATCAAGCTATTAACATCATACGGCCTGGAAACAAAATAACATTCCAAAAACACAGAGCTCTCTGACCCTGCAGGTTGGGTGGAAGAATATTCTCAGTCCCTGGTGAACCAGGATGGGAGAAGGCAGTATGAAACATCAGACTCATTTTGGTCCAATAGGAAACTAGAAAATTCTTGGCCAGTGCAAACTTAACCACATACCACATACGTGCACACACACTTCTTTCTTTCCTAATCCAGCTAACATCTACAGCACAGAGAGAGCATGTGAAACTTTCTTTACAAACTAGGGATCTGTAGATTCCTTTCCTAGGTTTACTAGTTGTGTGAATACAGACTTTCCTCTATATTTGCCTCAAGTAATATGATATTTCAGGCTGGCAGTACTAATTTTGAGAATGGATGAAGATTCAGTACTAGAGCTCTACTAGAACATGGTGACTATACTCAGCAGTAGTGTATTGTGGACTTTAAGATGTGTTAAGAGAATAGATCTCATGTTAAGTGTACTTACAACAAAACAAGGAAATTTGGGGGGATGATGAATATGTTCAGTGCCTTGGTTGTGGTGAGGGTATCATGTATATATGCATGTGTTCAGTATGTCCTAACTCATCAAGATATACACATTCAGTGAACTTGGTGTTTTGCACAAAAATTATACCTCAAATCTAAAAAAAAGAATGATAAGGAAGAATAAGAAGGTATTTAACACAAAGCACCTTGTCTCCTTGACTGCAATACTAGATTGATGGGATGCAGTATCAAGATCATGTAAAAGCCCATAGGTGGTTGATCAGCGCAACCCCAGGCATGGTGGGGAGAGGGAAGCTCAGTACTGAGAGTCAATAGCAAAAGTGAAGCACGGTGTTGCTCGGCAAAATGTGAAGCAACTGGACATTTGGCTTCAGGGATTTTCCATCACCTCTGCCTCCTAATTTAACTTCCTATTTTCATACTCTCAACTATTCCACATTAAGAATTTGATATTTGCTATTGCAGTTGGAAATGTTTCAAGACTCATTCTTTCAACAACTTAAATCAAGCATGGCTTTCCCTGTGCTAGGTCTGGACCAGGGCTGAAGATATGAGGATGAAATAAGGATGGGCTCTACCCTGGAGCATCAAGGAGCTGGGAGCATCAACAAGGCCGAGTTCTCCAGCGTGGTTGATGGACATCAGCCTCAGAATCACTAGCGATTAAGGAAAGCCAAATGTTGGATGCTATCACTTATACATTGGAATCTAAAAGGCTGAATTTAGAGAAACAGATAGTAGAATAGTAGTTACCAGGAGCTTGGAGGTGGGGAAACGGGAACACTGCTGATCAAAGTGTACAAAGTTATAAGATGAATATGTCCCGGAGACCCAATGCACTGTATTGTAACTACAGTTAATGACAAAGTATGCCAGAAATTTTCCGAGAGAGTAGATTTGAAATGCTCTCGTCACACATACACAAAGGTAACGATGGATGTGAGAGGGTGGGTATGTTAATTAGCTTGATTGTGGGAATCATTTTGCAAGGTGTACTTAAAACCAAATACCACAGTTGTAGACCTTAAATGTATACAATTTTTAAAATGTCAGTTATACTTCAATAAAACTGAAAAAAACAACACAAAAGAATCACCCAGAAGTTTTTATTTACAAATTTTCTCCTGGGCCCATCTCACAATTACGGGATCAAAATTTGCAAAGGGCAAAGGAATCTCTGTATTTTTACAAATTCTTCTACTGAACATTATGGTCACTAAGATTTGTTGTGGGGTTGGGAGTTCAGCTCAGCGGCACAGCGCCTGCCTGGCAAGTGCAAGGTCATGAGTTTGATTCCTGGTACCGGAAGAAAAACAAAACAAACAAACAAATAAACTAAGCTTTGTTGTTGCTCCCTAAGCTTTTGAGATCCTCTGAAATGTGAATGGATATGAAACTGTCTTAAGTATAATGATGAGATTATGAGCTGGATATTAGAGCAGAACAGAAGCAGGGTGGGAGGCAGCACCGAAAAGAAAGTTCCCTCCATGATACCTAAGGCCAATCCTAAGGAAGAGGAGGACAAGTGTGGCGATGAGGCTGAGGAACAGAGCTTTTCACTTAGGGAGCAGCATGATGAAGGGAATGAGGAGCAGGAAATGGAGCCCTGACGTATGACACACCACACCTACTTCTAACACATGGCATCGCAAACCACACTTGCTGTGTAAAGAACCAGGAGGACTGGATCTGACGGTGGACCTTCAAACACTGCGGTAGTCAGCAGGAAAACTTATTTGCGCAAAGGACCTTCTTTTCTGTCGCTCTGCCAGATCATATGATCAAGCCCCCTTTTCATATGAAGGTATATGATACGATGTTTTTTAAGGGTGTGGCTTTTTTCTTCATATTACAGTACACCCTTTGCAACGCAGGCACTTGGAACAAAAATATGCTCTGGGTCAGAGGATGATTCCCGATAAGGGCTCCTGATAAAGTCACCCTGTTTCTAGACTCAAGCATCCTGGAAATCTCTACTTTTTGATTAGAATATGATGCAAGCTCTGTGATAGGTAACCAAAGGAGGATGGAGATGATCTACATCTTAAAAGAAGACAGGCAATGCCTATATTTTGGAGGATGGGTATGAGGTAGTTATGAAAAGGATGTGGCCTGCTCTGCCTCGTAACCTCTATTTCTAGTTGGGTTCATCATTGCATCCTTATTAGCATTTTTGTCTTCTTTCAAAGTTACTTTTCCTGAACCTCAGCAGGCAGCCTTGGCATGGCAAGACTTTAATTTTTCTGACAACTGAGCTGATTAAGTGGTCAGCCTTATCTTCTTTCCCATGATTTCATGTTTCCTTTTTAGGTTCATCTGGTTTTTTTTGACTACCCTATTTTAGGAAGGAGACAATTTGCTTGGTCAAGTGCATGAGTTGAGTAGCCAGGGCAGCTAATCTCAGGGAAAAAAATACGTAGCACTCAACCCCCTGGACAGCTGCAGAGACCATTATCTGGGTTGCTTTTCTTCACCAGCTAGAGAAGCCCAATTCATCAAAACAGTTGAAGTCACTTGAAAAGTTAGCACTTACCATTTGGCTCCTGGAAGAGCAACATTTGTTTTGCGCTAAAAGTGACCCTTTGTGTCTTCCAGTAGGAAAGCGTAGATTTAGATGAAAGCAGAGTGGTGACCAGTTATACAGAGGTGGAGAAGGGGTGTTGAGCGGTGGAATAGGGGAGCAGATAAATGCATTCCTACCCCACCCACCCTTACTCAGCTTCATACAGCCTGTTTCCACAGAGAAGTTTAAAAATAAAAAGTAGAGCTTTAGTTTAGAGTGTTTTATCCTCAGCGCTACTAACATTTGGGGCAAGATTTTTTTTTTTTTGCTGTGGAGGGCTGTTCTATGCCCTGTGGGGTGATCAATAATGTCTCGGGCCTCTATCCACCACTAGATGCCAGTAGCAAACATCCCCTTCCCCAACGCAGTTATGACAATCAAGATGTTCCCAAACATTGCCAAATGTCCCTGGGGAAAGGGTTAAAATCACCCCCTGTTGAGAATCATTGTTCTAGTAGAATCACTCACCATGTTAATAAATCAAGCAGTCTCCACAGTGTTTACGGTAGTGATGGGAGGTCGAGATGTTCCACTGGCTGCATATTTGTGGTTGGTAGCTTTCATAAGCAGATCAGGCTTAAGTGGGCAGGAGCATAGTTTTACTCCAAGAATGTGACAGTCACAGCTGCAAGTTGACAGTGGAAAGAAGCAAATCCTTT